TGCTTTTGTTAAGTTGTATGAGTTCTCTGTAAATTTTGGAGATTAAACCCTTATCTGAAATAGCATTGGCAAATATGTTCTCCCATGCAGTGGGCTTTCTTGTTGTTTTGTTGATGGTTTATTTTCCTGTGCCGAAGGTTTTTATTTTGATGTAGTCCCATTTGTTTATTTTCTCCTTAGTCTCCATTGCCCTAGGAGCAGTATCATTGAAGATATTGCTACGGCATATGTCTGAGATTTTTCTGCCTATCGAGTCTTGTAGGATTTTTATGGTTTCCTGTCTTACATTTAAGTCCTTTAGCCATTTTGAGTTTGTTTTTGTGTATGGTGTAATTGGTGATCTAGTTTCTTTTTTTTTTCTTTTTCATTTTCTGGTTTCTAAACTTGGTTTGCACAAACTATGCACAACTCATGTTGATGCTGTGTTAATATTACATAATGAAAATATATTTCACCATTTGATATCTTACGAGAGTATAATTTTCTAATGAATGTAGGTCTCATTTGCAGGTTATTTTTTTAAAAAGGCTCAATATTCTTTGGTCAATAGAATGATTTTCTATATCAGTTTGCTGCAAGGAACTATTCAGAGAGGACAAGGAACTTAAATTTTTCTGATCTACTTTGTAAAAGAGACTTTGGGTGTCCAAATATTTCCCTTCTCCCAACCCCCAACATAACTTTAAGAAAATTAGGAAATCTTTGCTAATTAAATAATGAAAATGAATGTAATTGCCACAATAAACTATAGGTCTCATATAGGGGAATTAGTTGTTATAAACTTTACATGTGATTTATATTTTCTAGGGATTCTTTGAACAAAACATAGAAAACATAATGTCCAAGGTAGTTTGAAATGAACCCGTCATTCCTTCCTGCTGCCTCAGAACCACCTTTGTCCTGTCTTCCGGGCCCTGGTACCATCACCCACTTAGTCACCAAGTTAGTTTAAGCTCTTCGTTCTCATTCCATCCTCCCTTCCAAACAGTCTTTTAAGTTCAACAAATTCTATCTCCTTTGGCCTCTTAGGTCTGTTCCCTCCTCTCCATTTCTAATGTCCCTTCCCACATTCAGGATTACTGTATTAGCCTCATCCCATACCAAAGCAAATAGAGCTTTAAAAAATGAAATTATACTCATTTACTCCCCTGCTTAAAATCCATTTTAGAAGCTTTCGGAGAATTTGGGGGACTATCTTTCTGGATAAAGTTGAAACTTTAAATGTAGCTCTCACATCATTTCATAATTTGGCTTCTACCATGCTCTCTCTTCTCATTTCCTGAGCCTGTCCCTCCTCAAACTTTCATCCAAACAGGAACTCTCAGTGTCCTGGACGGTCCACGTTGCTTCCCGCCTCTGTTACAGAGCTATTCCCTCACCTGGAGCGCTCTTCTCTTTCAGCCAGTTCTTCTTAGCAGCTCAGCTCAGCCTGAGCCAGCTTTTCCAGGAAGTGTGTACTGAACCCCACGATGCTGATGTAGATGCCTCTCCTCTGTGTCCCTAGAGATTCTGAGCATCTCTCTTTCATAGAACTTAGGCCCCCCTCCCCCATCGCCCCCCAACAACCCTGCCCCCTGCCGGCACCAAACATTGATTTACTGGTTCAGTAAATCTAGACTTTATTCCTTGATGGTGGCAAGTACCACTTCTTCTTTTTTATTATTATTTTTTGTTAGCCATGCCTGACATAGAACAGACACCTGATAAATGTTAGAAGTAAAAAATTTGATGCATCATCTTGTCACTTTATATTATAAAATTTGATAATGGTTTTATCTTTGCTGCCATGGGAAATTACTCTTATAGTTATGGTTTCATTGCTGTGTCTTTGGTTTGGAATACAAATCCTATTCTGATATTGTTTCTTCCAGAAAATAGGATCTATTTGATAGCACAGTTTCCATAAAACTGTCATTCTTAGAAGGTTACAATAATTGCAATGGTTGTCATGAAATGGTATTTTTTTTAAAAAGGTTAGTCAACATTTTTAGCTCACAAGAAGTTATTTGCAAGAAAAGTTCTCAAAGAGTTTGTTCAGCTTCTGACTATGCAGTTCATCCCTCCCTGTGTTCTGGTATAACGTGTGAAACACGTCTGTGGCATATGCTGTGTATACAGCAAATACATTTGGTTAAAGATCACAAAGCGCTTTACATTCTGATTGTTTTGACAAACTGCCAAACTAACCACTGTCACCTGAGTTTAGGGAGAAGCAGCGGAAGTGCAAGTGGTCCTGGAGTTTGGGTCATGGCCGTGCTCACCCCCTGGATAAAGAGACAGCGATAGAGAGAGCGCAGTTCCCCAAACCTGGGGAGGAATTTTAGCTCAGCGTGGAGTGGAAGGATCAGGAGAATGAACTCTGTATGATTCTAGAAGTGTATTTAAAATAGTTTCCTGTGCTTATTTTTTTTGAAGGCTTTGTTCAGTGGCATAATGTGACGGCCCAATGAAGAGCTAATGATAAATTTAAAGTATTTGGGGAAGTGAAAAAAATATTGGACGTAGAGGATATTTGTATCTATATTTACTGACTTTCAAGAAGAATTTTAAGACTAATTTAGAAAATTTCTTCTAATGAGGTCAGTATAATTTATACAGCTTACCACAGGATCCTGTTTTACTGCCTTTGGTGGCTTTACTTAGGAACTTGAAATGATAAATAATGTGGGCATTTGGTTAAAGAACTGGCCTGGGGAAGATGGGACTTGGAAAGTATTACGGGGAGGATGGTGAAAAGAAAGGCACATGTGGGTAGAAATGCAGCAATGCAGCGAAGGTGGTTCCTACCGATCCTACCGCTTACCCCTGCCCTTAACATCTATACAGTGGCAAAGTATGAAATCCATTTTTTTGTTTAAATAGTTTGATAATATTCCCATAATAGTAATCTAGGAATTACCAAGATTGTTTGTAATGCCTGGATTACATGTTTTACCTATAGTATATAGTATGCTATCTTTGTATAGCCTTTACTCCCTACAATCTATAGTCATTGCTTCTAAGTCGCACGATTGGTTTATAAAAAATATTTAAGGCTTATAAAAATATATATTTTTTAATTTATTTCACAGAGGAATGGAGAGGGAGAAAGAGATTGTAGAATTCCCTTGTACTGAATGTTTGTAGCCAGCAGGTGTCACTTTGTAAAATTTGCAAAAGCAAAACCTAAAGTTGATGGTTTCTTCAAAAAATTATAAGGATATCATGTAGGACAACTCGGAACTGCGATTGTCACCATCCTCCAGCCTCTTCTAAGAACATTGTGTAAATAATACTGACAGGGAGGGCAGGGTCTGTGAAAAAAGCTAGTTAAAAACCTTTGACATGAGAACACTGACTTTTAAGAGCTTGCTTGATTTTCTGAGCTACCAAAATCCGCTAGGATACTGCATTAAGTTAGCATCTTGGAAATAATCCTAGTGGGAGAGTAACTGAATTGAAGTGTCAAGTACTATGGATATCTGCATGGTATCTAGGTTCAGGCTGGTATGAAATTAAAGCAGCAACGCAAACAGATCTAATTCTCACCCACTTCAAGAATGTCCAAGTTTATGTTTTCATATCCCTACTTTAACATAGGACAGTTCAGCATAAATATGAGATTGGTGTTTATTTTGTATCTTATTTATCTACTGTT